ATCGGAAGATGTTTCCAGGAATACTGGTTTGAGATTTTATGGTCCAAGAGCTTTTATGGCAAGTTTAACAAGAAGATCTGCTTTAGAAGAACTTTATGGGTATATGATTAGCAATGCACAGAATGCTTGAATTTTTAAAAATTATGAGACTTAACAGGACACCCCCACTGGGAGCATAAAGCTCTGAATACTGTGACTAAGCAAACAAACGGTTTTAACATTTTCTTTTACAACCTAACAAAAAGATATTCAAAACTAAAATGGCAATGGATTTGACTATATGGCAAACCTACCTACAGAGTTTTCATTTCTGTAAAGAAATAACTTGTGAAATATTCCTAAAGTCAGTGCACAAAACAGGAAAACCATTATTTCTGTTACACTCCACAATTCTTGGAACTAATATTAGAGGTTCTATGACTTTAAATCTTTATGCTACAGAGAATGATATTATCCACTAAAACAGGAAGTAGTTTTCTAAAGGTTATTCATTCTCCAGGTCATTAAAGAATTTTATTTTTTTATTCAAAACATTTGGAAGAGGAAGCACACCTGAATCTTTTTGTTTACAAGTAGCAAAACAAAACCCAAGAAGGTAATTTTCTTATACATGCTTTCCAGGTCACTTGGAAATAAGACTATTTCCTTTGCTGGGTAAGTATTTTGTAAAAATTAAGTGCACAATGACTGTTTCTTGAAATGAATATAACCTTTCAACCAGTAACATTAGGTTACCTGTAGGAAAAGGATACACAACTACTGAGACAGGTAACAGGATTACAGTTTTAACAAAAACGTCTGAAAGGCAATCATCAAATTACAATTTTCATTGGTTTCCTTCATTATCATCTTTACTGTCTGCCCACAAATTCTGCAGTGGAGTCCATTTCAAATCCTTCTAAGAGTCCACTTCGTGAGATAAATATGTACATACAAAATAAAGCAGATATATTATAATTTATAAAAAGTAAATTGTTTTATATATTATTTTTCTTCTAGGATCTTTAAGAGTGAGGCCTTGACTACATTTGCATTATAAAAAATATAAGTTGTGATACAGTAAAACTGGCTTTTTATGTATAGTTCTGTGAGTTTTCACTCGTATATATTCAGGTAACCATGACCACAATCAGAAGTGTCATCATTCAAAAAAATTCCTCTGTTGTCTTTCTCAACTGGGATTCCTTACCTGAACCAAACAGAAAATAATGTTTCAATTTCCTTTATTCGTCAAGTAAATGCTTACATAAAATCACCTGTATTTATTTCCTCTCTTCAATTTGGTATATTCTCATAAACACACACTATATAATTTCCTCACCACTCTGTATCTGGAGGCAGGTTAATGTAATCAAAGGTTATAGCTCTGAAAAGTATGATGGTAGGATTTTAAAACTCAGATTACATAGGTTGGTTAACTCTTGGTTTGTTTCAAGTATTACTGAGCTATACTTGAAGTACATCCTCAACTATTATTGCATTACTCACAGCTGTCCAATAATAACTCCAGCAGTGAAATATCTTAAGTATGAAACATGTAATGTTGATGACAAATGTTTTAGAACATCAGGAGTAAGATTAATGAAGAGCAAAGTAAATCTACAACAAGAAAAGGGAAGGTACATTTATTAAAAATAAAAATAGTCGACAGTCTCTGATAACAAACAAAACCATTCAGACTCGAAATATATCCAATATACATTGTAACAATGCACATATATTAAAAAAACCAAAGAGCCATTAAGTAGTTTTGTTACAATTTTAGAAAGGAAAACAGGATTGTGGGTTGCTCCTGCCTACACACAGCATGCAGGCCCAGCCCCGCTTTCTGTGTCCTGTGCAGCACAGCGGTGTGTGGCGTGTGTGTTCATTCAGTGAACACACTTTCTGGAGAAAATCGCAGTTTCTGTAAGGATGATCCAGTACATAAATTAGTGGCTCCATTTCATAAAAAATCTGTGTAGGCTGGAAGAGCAGGGATGACTGTTTTCAAAGTCTTCAGTTTTAACAAAAGGTACAGAATAAACTACTAAATCTAGATGCTTTCACATTATTTTGCATGAATATCAATCAAGTACTGTGTAAAAATTTTTGTAAAATCTTTTTAGCCAAACTAGTGTCTTTCTTTAAATCAAAGTCTGTCACTCTTTTAGCATGGCTGATAAGTTTTTTCTGCCTTTGTCACTAATAACACTTGTCAAACCAAAGAACTCTGAAAAAGAATATGCACTGATGAAGGGAAATAGTACCGAAAATGTGCCTGGGCTTCAGTCTTAAGACACACACAGTTCCTGTTGGATACTGGACTGTGAGAGTTTATTATCTTCAGTCTTTTCAGGTCCTGAGGCGTGGCAAGTAGTCTTCCGCTTAAATAATCGAAGACTCAGTCGTAAGAGTTCATTGTCTACCATTGGAGCATTTGTATAAGCTTGTTTTACGGTGCCCTATTTGGAGAAAACAAAAACAAATTAAACATGTACATTATTAGCTGACAGTCGAAAAGACAGGTTAACTGCTAACAAAAATATCAGTTGTAAGAAAAATTCGTTTGTGATGAATATTAGCTATGTTGGATATTTAAAAGCAAAATTAAGAAATGTTTGCAGACTTAAGGAATCTTAGAACAGAAAGCAATCTTTAGAGGGCGCCTAGTCTAACTTGTTGCTTAAAGTAGGAATCTTCTCAACAATCCCTGACAGGTAATCGAGTAGTTTTTACTTCATTATTTCCAATGACAAAACAAAACAACGAAAAACACACTGCACATTCTATTGCTGAACGGTACTATTTCTTCCACGTTTTGAAATAAAATCTCTTCTATGGAGCTACACACTAATTCAGTCTTACTTTCACATGACAATCAATTCTCTGAAGAGAAGCACCGAACATTCCATACTCCTTACTGGTCTGTTGTTATGACGTAAGATGTAGGCTCCAGAACTGAACAAATTCTCCAGAAGACAGCTGATCAGTGCAGTCTACTGAGAAACTAAGATGTACATCGCTATTATTGGAACTTAAAGCTACCTTTGAAAGTTACTGTCATAAAATTGTTAAATGTTCTCCAACCATGTGTAGAATGAAATAAAAGATTTGAATATCTCCAGCATTCTGCTATTTCTCTTCTAGATCTTTAAAGGAAGAGTGATGCCTTGACCACATTTGCATTATAAAAAATATTTTATAAGCTGTGATACAGTAAAACTGGATTTTTATGTATATTTCTGTGAGTCTTCACTCATGTATATAGTCAAGTAACCACGACCGCAATCAGAAGTGTCGTCATTCAAACAAATTCCTCTGTTGTCTTTCTCAACTGGGGTTCCTTACCTGAACCAAACAAAAAATAAGCTGAGTTTCAATTTCCTTTATTCTTCAAGGAAATGTTTACATATAATCACTGGTGTTTATTTCCTCTCTTCAATTTGGTATATTCTCATAAACACTATGTAATCTCCTCACCACTCTGTATCTGGAAAACATTTTCCCTTGACCTTCAATTTAAATAAGTTTCTAGTATATTTCATTATCTAAAGAAACTTCGCAAATGAAAAATATTTCACAGGAATAGACTATTTAAAATTTTTTTCCAGGCGGAGGGGAAGATGGCGGAAGAGTAAGGCGTGGAGATCACCTTCCTCCCCACAGATACACCAGAAATACATCTACACGTGGGGCAACTCCTACAGAACACCTACTGAACGCTGGCAGAAGACCTCAGACCTCCCAAAAGGCAAGAAACTCCCCCACGTACCTGGGTAGGGCAAAAGAAAAAAAGAAAAAACAGAGGCAAAAGAATAGGGACAGGACCTGCACCGGTGGGAGGGAGCTGTGAAGGAGGAAAGGTCTCCACACACTAGGAAGGCCCTTCGTGGGCGGAGACTGCGGGAGGCGGAGCGGGGAGCTTCGGAGCCGCGGAGGACAGCGCAGCAACAGGGGTGCGGAGGGCAAAGCGGGGAGATTCCCGCACAGAGGATCGGTGCCAACCGGCACTCACCAGCCCGAGAGGCTTGTCTGCTCACCCACCGGGGAGGGCGGGGCTGCGAGCTGAGGCTCGGGCTTTGGTGGAGCGCAGGGAGAGGACTGGGGTTGGCGGCGTCAACACAGCCTGAAGGGGTTAGTGCACCACGGCTAGCCGGGAGGGAGTCCGGGAAAAGGTCTGGAGCTGCCGAAGAGGCAAGAGACTTTTTCTTCCCTCTTTGTTTCCTGGTGCGCGAGGAGAGGGGATTAAGAGCGCTGCTTAAAGGAGCCCCAGAGACGGGCGCAAGCTGCGGCTAAAAGCGCAGACCCCAGAGACGCTAAGGCTGCTGCTACCACCACCAAGAAGCCTGTGTGCGAGCACAGGTCACTCTCCACACCCCTCTTCGGGGGAGGCTGTGCAGCCCGCCACTGCCAGGTTCCTGGGATCCAGGGACAACTTCCCCGGGAGAACGCACGACACACCTCAGGCTGGTGCAACGTCATGCTGGCCTCTGCCGCCGCAGGCTTGCCCCGCGCCCCTCCCTCCCCCAGGCCTGAGTGCGCCAGAGCCCCCGAATCAGTGGCTCCTTTAACCCCGTCCTGTCTGAGCAAAAAACAGACGCCCTCCAGCGACCTACACGCAGAGGCGGGGCCAAGTCCAAAGCTGAGCCCCTGGGAGCTGTGAGAACAAAGAAGAGAAAGGGGAATCTCTCCTAGCAGCCTCAGAAGGGGCGGATTAAAGCTCCACAGTCAACTTGATGTACCCTGCATCTGTGGAATACCTGAATGGACAGCGAATCATCCCAAATTGAGGAGGTGGACTTTGAGAGCAAGATTTATGATTTTTTTCCCTTTTCCTCTTTTTGTGAGTGTGTATGTGTATGCTCCTATGTGAGATTTTGTCTGTATAGCTTTGCTTCCACCATTTGTCTTAAGGTTCTATCCGTCCCTTTTTTTTCCTAAATTTTTTTAATTTAATAACTTTATTATATTTTACTTAATTATATTTCACTGTATCTTTTTTTTTCCTTCCTTCCTCCCTCCCCTTCTTTCCTTTTCTTCTTCCTTCCATCCCTCCTTTCCTACCTACCTACTTCTACTAATTCTTTCTCTCTACTTTTTCTTCCTTTTATTCTGAGCCGTGTGGATGAAAGGCTCTTGGTGCTGCAGCCAGGAGTCAGTGCTGTGCCTCTGAGGTGGGAGAGCCAACTTCAGGACACTGGCCCACAAGAGACCTCCCAGCTCCACATAATATCAAACAGCGAAAATCTCCCAGAGATCTCCATCTCAACACCAGCACCCAGCTTCACTCAATGACCAGCAAGCTACAGTGCTGGACACCCTATGCCAAACAATTAGCAAGACAGAAACACATCCCCATCCATTAGCACAGAAGCTGCCTAAAATTATAATAAGTCCACAGATACCCCAAAACACACCACCAGACATGGATCTGCCCACCAGACAGACAAGATCCAGCCTCATCCACCAGAACACAGGCACTATTCCTCTCCACCAGGAAGCCTACACAGCCCACTGAACCAACCTTAGCCACTGGGGACAGACACAAAAAACAACAAGAACTACAAACCTGCAGCCTGCAAAAAGGAGACCCCCAAACACAGTAAGATAAGCAAAATGAGAAGATAGAAAAACACACAGCAGATGAAGGAGCAAGATAAAAACTCACCAGACCTAACAAATGAAGAGGAAATAGGCAGTCTACCTGAAAAAGAATTCAGAATAATCATAGTAAAGATGATCCAAAATCTTGGAAATAGAATGGACAAAATGCAAGAATCGTTTAACAAGGACCTAGAAGAACTAAAGATGAAACAAACAACGATGAAGAACACAATACATGAAATGAAAAATACTCTACATGGGATCAATAGCAGAATAACTGAGGCAGAAGAACAGATAAGTGACCTGGGAAATAAAATGGTGGAAATAACTACTGCAGAGCAGAATAAAGAAAAAAGAATGAAAAGAACTGAGGACAGTCTCAGAGACCTCTGGGACAACATTAAACGCACCAACATTCGAATTATAGGGGTTCCAGAAGAAGAAGAGAAAAAGAAAGGGACTGAGAAAATATTTGAAGAGATTATAGTTGAAAACTTCCCTAATATGGGAAAGGAAATCGTTAATCAAGTCCAGGAAGCACAGAGAGTCCCATACAGGATAAATTCAAGGAGAAATACGCCAAGACACATATTAATCAAACTGTCAAAAACTAAATACAAAGAAAGCATATTAAAAGCAGCAAGGGAAAAACAACAAATAACACACAAGGGAATCCCCATAAGGTTAACAGCTGATCTCTCAGCAGAAACTCTACAAGCCAGAAGGGAGTGGCAGGACATACCTGAAAGTGATGAAGGAGAAAAACCTGCAACCAAGATTACTCTACCCAGCAAGGATCTCATTCAGATTTGATGGAGAAATTAAAACCTTTACAGACAAGCAAAAGCTGAGAGTCCAGCACCGTCAAACCAGCTTTACAACAAATGCTAAAGGAACTTCTCTAGGCAAGAAACACAAGAGGAGGAAAAGACCTATAATAACAAACCCAAAACAATTTAGAAAATGGGAATAGGAACATACATATCGATAATTACCTTAAATGTAAATGGACTAAATGCTCCCACCAAAAGACACAGATTGGCTGAATGGATACAAAAACAAGACCCATATATATGCTGTCTACAAGAGACCCACTTCAGACCTAGAGACACATACAGACTGAAAGTGAGGGGATGGAAAAAGATATTCCATGCAAATGGAAACCAAAAGAAAGCTGGAGTAGCAATTCTCAAATCAGACAAAATAGACTTTAATATAAAGACTATCAGAAGAGACAAAGAAGGACACTACATAATGATCAAGGGATCGATCCAAGAAGAAGATATAACAACTGTAAATATTTATGCACCCAACACAGGAGCACCTCAATACATAAGGCAAATACTAACAGCCATAAAAGGGGAAATCAACAGTAACACATTCATAGTAGGGGACTTTAACACCCCACTTTCACCAATGGACAGATCATCCAAAATGAAAATAAATAAGGAAACACAAGCTTTAAATGATACATTAAACAAGATGGACTTAATGGATGTTTATAGGACATTCCATCCCAAAACAACAGAATACACATTTTTCTCAAGTGCTCATGGAACATTCTCCAGGATAGATCATATCTTGGGTCACAAATCAAGCCTTGGTAAATTTAAGAAAATTGAAATCATATCGAGTATCTTTTCCGACCACAACGCTATGAGACTAGATATCAATTACAGGAAAATATTTGTAAAAAATACAAACACATGGAGGCTAAACAATACCCTACTTAATAACAAAGTGATCACTGAAGAAATCAAAGAGGAAGTAAAAAAAATACCTGGAAGCAAATGAAAATGGAGACACGATGACACAAAACCTATGGGATGCAGCAAAACAGTTCTAAGAGGGAAGTTTATAGCAATCTAAGAGGGAAGTTTATAGCAATACAAGCCCACCTTAGGAAACAGGAAACATCTCGAATAAACAACCTAACCTTGCACCTCAAGCAATTAGAGAAAGAAGAAGAAAGAAACCCAAAGTTAGCAGAAGGAAAGAAATCCTAGAAATCAGATCAGAAATAAATGAAAAAGAAGGAAACGATAGCAAAGATCAATAAAACTAAAAGCTGGTTCTTTGAGAAGATAAACAAAATTGATAAACCATTAGCCAGACTCATCAAGGAAAAAAGGGAGAGGGCTCAAATCGATAGAATTAGAAATGAAAAAGGAGAAGTAACAACTGACACTGCAGAAATACAAAAAGGATCATGAGAGATTACTACAAGCAACTCTATGCCAATAAAATGGACAACCTGGAAGAAATGGACAAATTCTTAGAAATGCACAACCTGCCAAGATTGAATCGGGAAGAAATGGAAAATATGAACAGACCAATCACAAGCACTAAAATTGAAACTGTGATTAAAAATCTTCCAACAAACAAAAGCCCAGGACCAGATGGCTTCACAGGCGAATTCTATCAAACATTTAGAGAAGAGCTAACACCTATCCTTCTCAAACTCTTCCAAAATATAGCAGAGGGAGGAACACTCCCAAATTCATTCTACGAGGCCATCATCACCTTGTTACCAAAACCAGACAAGGACGTCACAAAGAAAACTACAGGCCAATATCACTGATGAACACAGATGCAAAAATCCTCAACAAAATACTAGCAAACAGAATCCAACAGCACATTAAAAGGATCATACACCGTGATCAAGTGGGGTTTATTCCAGGAATGCAAGGATTCTTCAATATACGCAAATTAATCAATGTGATACACCATATTAACAAATTGAAGGAGAAAAACCATATGATCATCTCAATAGATGCAGAGAAAGCTTTTGACAAAATTCAACACCCATTTATGATAAAAACCCTGCAGAAAGGAGGCACAGAGGGAACTTTCCTCGACATAATAAAGGCCATATACAACAAACCCACAGCCAACATTGTCCTCAATGGTGAGAAACTGAAAATATTTCCACTAAGATCAGGAACAAGACAAGGTTGCCCACTCTCACCACTCTTATTCAACATAGTTTTGGAAGTTTTAGCCACAGCAATCAGAGAAGAAAAGGAATCCAAATCAGAAAAGAAGTAAAGCTGTCACTGTTTGCAGATGACATGATACTATACATAGAGAATCCTAAAGATGACACCAAAAGATGCTACCAGAAAACTACTAGAGCTAATCAATGAATTTGGTAAAGTAGCAGGATACAAAATTAATGCACAGAAATCTCTGGCATTCCTATATACTAATGATGAAAAATCTGAAAGTGAAATCAAGAAAACACTCCCATTTACCATTGCAACAAAAAGAATAAAATATCTAGGAATAAACCTACCTAAGGAGACAAAAGACCTGTATGCAGAAAATTATAAGACACTGATGAAAGAAATTAAAGATGATACAAACAGATGGAGAGATATACCATGTTCTTGGATTGGAAGAATCAACATTGTGAAAATGACTCTACTACCCAAAGCAATCTATACAGATTCAATGCAATCCCTATCAAACTACCACTGGCATTTTTCACAGAAGTAGAACAAAAAAGTTCACAATTTGTATGGAAACACAAAAGACCCCGAATACCCAAAGAAATCTTGAGAATGAAAAATGGCGCTGGAGGAATCAGGTTCCCTGACTTCAGACTATACTACAAAGCTACAGTAATCAAGACAGTATGGTACTGGCACAAAAACAAAGATAGATCAATGGAACAGGATAGAAAGCCCAGAGATAAACCCACGCACATATGGTCACCTTATCTTTGACAAAGGAGGCAGGAATGTACAGTGGAGAAAGGACAGCCTCTTCAATAAGTGGTGCTGGGAAAACTGGACAGGTACATGTAAAAGTATGAGATTAGATCACTCCCTAACACCATACACAAAAATAAGCTCAAAATGGATTAAAGACCTAAATGTAAGGCCAGAAACTATCAAACTCTTAGAGGAAAACGTAGGCAGAACACTCTATGACATAAATCACAGCACGATCCTTTTTGACCCACCTCCTAGAGAAATGGAAATAAAAACAAAAACAAAAACAAAATGGGACCTAATGAAACTTCAAAGCTTTTGCACAGCAAAGGAAACCATAAACAAGACCAAAAGACAACCCTCAGAATGGGAGAAAATATTTGCAAATGAAGCAACTGACAAAGGATTAATTTCCAAAATTTACAAGCAGCTCATGCAGCTCAATAAGAAAAAAAAAACCCAATCCAAAAGTGGGCCGAAGACCTAAATAGACATTTCTCCAAAGAAGATATACAGACTGCCAACAAACATATGAAAGAATGCTCAACATCATTAATCACTAGAGAAGTGCAAATCAAAACTACAATGAGATATCATCTCACACTAAATGCTGGAGAGGGTGTGGAGAAAAGGGAACACTCTTCCACTGCTGGTGGGAATGTGAACTGGTTCAGCCACTATGGAGAACAGTATGGAGGTTCCTTAAAAATCTACAAATAGAACTACCATAGAACCCAGCAATCCCACTACTGGGCATATACCCTGGGAAAACCAAAATTCTAAGAGTCATGTACCAAAATGTTCATTGCAGCTCTATTTACAATAGCCAGGACATGGAAACAACCTAAGTGCCCATCATCGGATGAATGGATAAAGAAGATGTGGCACATATATACAACGGAATATTACTCAGCCATAAAAAGAAACGACATTGAGCTATTTGTAATGAGGTGGATAGACCTAGAGTCTGTTATACAGAGTGAAGTAAGTCAGAAAGAGAAAGATAAATACCGTATGCTAACACATATATATGGAATTTAAGGAAAAAAAAATGTCAAGAAGGACCTAGGGGTAAGGCAGGAATAAAGACACAGACCTACTGGAGAACGGACTTGGGGATATGGGCAGGGGGAAGGGTGAGCTGTGACAAAGCGAGAGAGAGGCATGGACATATATACATTAACAAACGTAAAAGAGATAGCTAGTGGGAAGCAGCCGCATAGCACAGGGATATCAGCTCGGTGCTTTGTGACGGCCTGGAGGGGTGGCATAGGGAGGGTGGGAGATGCAAGAGGGAAGAGATATGGGAACATATGTATATGTAAAACTGATTCACTTTGTTATAAAGCAGAAACTAACACACCATTGTTAAGCAAATATACCCCAATAAAGATGTTCAAAAAAAAATTTTTTTCCAGTACCAATAACAATTTGTTATTCAAAACAAATGTTATTCAAAACTATTAAAGTAAAATAAAAAGTACTGTAAATTCTAATAAAATTCTTTCTTTTACATGTGTAAAAGACTGGGAAACCAAACTCATAAAAGCAGATCATGAGACCTTAATTTCACCTTAAAGCAATCAAATGAAGAATATGTCATCCATACTACTCAACAGACATGTTCCAATTTTTCTAAGGAAACAACAGTACCTTCTCATTTTTAACAAGCTGCTTCCGGATTGCAGAATCCCGCCTGAAGCATAATGCTTTACAGCATGGTCCAAGATTACTAAGAAGACTTGCTCTTTCCTCTTTTCGTAGTAATGCAGCCATGTTGAGAGCCCCCAATTCATGTTCAAAAAGATTGTCTGCATCTTTCAATAAAAAATAAACACATTAAGGTTTCTGAAAATAGAAGTGTTATCAACTGCTTAGATGAATATTCCACAAAGTCAATCTATACTAAGTTTATCAAAGTTACCAACAGTGGTGAAAACTATTTCATATTAAAGGCAATATGTTCTCTGTGAGAGAACTCCAGTATGTAGTTTTGGTGCTAGGCTCAAACAAAAATAAATACTCTGATAGCCACTTTAAGATATAAGAAAAGCAGAATTGGGAGACAGAATTTAGACATGGATTACTATGGGAAAAAAGTTCAAGTTAAGAATTAGTAAAGTCAATTTCAATATACTGTGTACCATCAACTACTAAAAGTTCTAGATTCAGGACTTTATTATGGCAAGATTCAAATGTAGTAATGTGACTACATTCTGTGAACCCTAAAAAACTTAGGAAAGTGATTAGCTGTTAGATAATCTGCAAATTTTATCCAATATTTGGTCACTGTAAAAACCTGGGACAATGTATCAAAATCACTTAGTTTTAAGTCATAACATGCAAAGTAGGGAGAAAACACTTAATAAAAATAGAGATTGAGTTAAAAATAGACAAGAAACCAAGATTTACAAAATAGGGTCAGTCATTAATCTAAGTAAGTGACAGAAAGAGTTGTAACTTCAAAGTTAACATTCCAGGAGTTGGCCAAGAGTATGAATGGTATCAGGTAGTGTTTCTATAGCAACATGATCAAACAGGTTATTTCTAGAGCCCACAAAGGGAAACAGTAAATAACACGTAGGTAAAAAACAAAACAGACATTTGAGAATTAATGGAATTGCATTACATATTTCATTTCCTGAACTGCAGAGCATAAATAGATTAGATAATTAACAAGAAACCTGTCTCATGTAATATACCTAGTTGGTAAGTTATACACCTAGTGAATAGGTTTATAGCAAAAGCAAAAATAAATGTAAATAAAAACTCAGAAATAGTTCACAAACTTTGATGTCTATCAGAATCATCTGAGGAGTTTTTAAAAATACAGTGCCAGGGCTCTACCACCAGACCTACAGACTCTCCACAGTTGGAACTAGAATACCTTAGTGGGTATCCCGTTGGGGGAAAAGGCAGTTCCTCAAGTTATTCAGTCATATACCAATTTTGAGCCAACCAATGACACAGTCATATAATGACACAGTCATATTAAAAAAAAAAGCACCAAACATTCACCACCATTCTACTATAGATACAAATAAAGAAATCTCCATTGAGTCCATGCACTTCCTTGAAAACTGCTCATTAGGACAAATTACTTTCTATTTAAATCTTTTCTGCTTTCACAACAGTAGACTATAACACACACTTGCAAACCTCCCTAGAACGTATAACATGGCTAAACTTAGTCTCTTCCTGGTTTTGAACTGACCAGCACCAAATAACTCGAGACAGATTAAACACATATATAAGTACAAGTAAACCAAAGGAACTAAAATAACTGGGAAAGTTTAGCTTCAGAGAACTTAATCATACTATAATCAGAAAACCTGGACAAAAGCAATTTAAATTTCAGTACGTATTCAAGTTTTCTGTTTTAAGCCTTAGAATTTAAAAATTACATAGGGAGTGGACATATACTTCAGCACTGGGGCATAGAAACAGAATGGATTAGAAAAAAATCAGTTATTTCACAAATATTTATTGAATACCTACTATGTGTCAGGTACTTTTCAAGGCAATGGCATAATGAGTAAGAACAGATCATTAGACAATACAGCAGTAAACAAAACAGTCCTATTCCTTAGGAAACTTATATTCAGTATCATATATTAGTTCTCCAACAAAGTTATCATAGCACCAAAAAATAGGACTACTTGGTAAGGAACAATCAAATCCTTCTTTACAGTGTGTGTTTTCATTGTTTAAAGTAAGTGATCATCAGTCAGGGACAAACTATAGTCTGATTTTGCTAACTACACAATAGATTTTAACTTGAAATGCCATTAGCAAGAGACACAGGAGCAAATAGCTGTAGATGTGGATAAGAACTTAGGGATTTCATTACATCATTTTATGCCCACAGGAGTTACTTAAGATCACAGAACCAATCAAACAAAGTAGAAAGAGTGGGGCAAGAACTCAAGACACTGGTCATCTGTCAGGTTAACACACATTCACCATTATAATTTATGTTTCTTACACATACTATGTATACTAAGCCATATTAAAATCCAGAGTCTTACTGCTTATGCTAACAGTTGAAGAAAGGACATGGATCATGAAACACGTAAAACAATTTTTTTTCAATTTAGTAAAAGCTCAATTCTTTTTCCTAAACTTTTTTACGCTAATGAATGTGACATAACATTAAATAATCTTAGTGCTTTCACCTTTTACCTCCTTTCCTCCTTTTTTTACACTCTTCCTCCCCATTAATAAAGTATTAATAAGCTGCCAAAACATAATAAGCTAGGTACCAGAGAAACAGAAAACAAAGGACCCTATAAACTAAAAGTGTTCTGGAATAGTGAAAAGCTGTAGCAGTAAGGTCTAAAATCAATGTGATAAAATGTTTTAAACTAAATAGCAGTAGCTCATATGTACTGAGCATCACTGTATGTCAGAAACTATTCTAAGTGTTTTACTTGTAACAACTCATTTGTTCCTCCTAACAATCATATGACTTGGTGGTGTAATTATTCCCAGCTTGTAGATGATAACAGTAACACATAAATTAAATAACAGCTAGTAAGTGGTGTGCCTGTTGGAATCCAGGCTATCTGGCCCAGAGACTAAGCTCTTAACCACTCTGTTAAAGGCTCAACCTAAACATCTGCATTTGAGTAGAATTCCCCACTTCCTGGGGGAAAGGGTTGCCAAGATAACCAATTTGCTTAGATATGAACAATATCTAGTTCACTTCCGCAGGCTCTACTTCATTTAGCCCTGGGTAAACCACTGAGCACTTTGACATTAGAACTTACCTGTTAAAAAGTAACTTTGATACAGTAAGATCATTGTGCTATGTTTACAACTTTTCTGCAGGCTTAAATTTTTCTCAAAATAAATTAAAACAAACTTTGACCATGAGGGTTAAATACTGAAAATAAGTGAGTCCTCAAAAAAAAAAAAAGTTCTTATACTGTAACTGCTACATGAGAACAGAACAGAATCCTTTTCAAAGGCACCTTAATATTTATATTAAACATTATATAGTCAAAGTGGGACGGAATTACCTTTGGGTTTTTCTAAAAGTCTCTGACATGTTTCTTTGACTTTAGTAAAGAGTTCAGAACCAGCCAACTTTTTAGAGATCCCAATTCTCAGCATAACGGCTCCAGGCGTGAATTTTAAGAGTGCAGCCCCAGGCTCTCGTGGTTCTTTTGGATGCTTTGGCATAAGACCAGACCAGTCCACATCTATCACATCTAATGGATCTACAAAAAGTTAAAGAACAGAATTTTATTACACCAAGAAATACATTCTCGTTATCTATAGAGAAATACAGATTCCAAGCCACAGAAAGCATTAAATAACAAGTAATATAAATCAAAAAAGGCACATTCTTAAAACAAAAGATTTTCTATAAAAGCTAACATTTAGAATCTTAAGGACCTCTACAAATAACTTTCTCACCAAAGGAAAAGAGGCGAAGAGGTCACAGGCGAGTGCCTCCGCCCCCCCCCCATTTCATTTATATGTGGAATCTAAAATGAAAAGAATCAAACAAAAAGAAAACCAAACTCATAGATACAGAGATTGGTGGCTTCCAGAGGGGAAGGAATGTGAAGTTTAGACAAAATGTGTGAAGGGTATCAAGCGGTACAAACTTGCAATTATAAATAAATCATGGAGATGTAATGTATAGCATGGTAACTATAGTCAATAATATTGTATTTCAACATTAAAAGTTGCTAGAAAGTATATCTGAAAAGTTCTCATCACAAGAAAAAAAACTTTGTAACTTTGCATGGTGACAGATGGTAACTAGACTTAATGTGGTGATCATGTTGCAATGTATACAAATGTCAAATCATTAGGTTGTGTACCTGAAACTAATGTATGTCAATTATACTTCAATAAAAAACCCAAAAACCAAAAAAAAAAAAAGGCAAGCAAACACCTAAGCAAACCCATTCCTACAAATAATGCATTTAAATTGCTTGAGAGATCCTCAGTGAGAGAACTCCATCATTTCACTATATTAGGTCTGACATTTTGAAGCTTGGTACCAGAGTCATTTCAAGGGTTAATTAAGTAAATCCAGGAGTGTATTTAGTTTGCATGTGTGCATGCATGCACAGACACAGTTTACCTTTCAAAAACAAATGATTCATTATGAAATAAATTTAAGAATCAGGCAGTGGCTAAGATTAAAATTGAGAATAATCTATCCACTGATAAGTCAGAGTTTAGGAAATTAACAAAATAATGTTCTATTCAGAAATACCTAATAGCTGATAATAATAAAGATAACTCATATATATATTATACATTAGTAGAAAAAACTGTAAAATGTAAGAGCAAATTAAGTCAAAATAAGAATTTAATATTCTGTATACCCCAACAAAGCAAAGACCCTATGATAAAAAAAAATTGTTAGTAACAATTAGACTAATTGGGATGATTCAACAAGAACACTGAAGGTAGCTGCTTCATGGTACAGTCACTGGAGTAAGTTCTCGCAATGAATAAAGTACTATAAATGGAAATAATTACTGAATTTAGAAAATTGAGAGAGAGAAGTATATATACAGTGTTCAAATATAACCTCGACCTTTGGAAATTTCTGAATGGTCATTTCAAAAGTTGGTTTGTGGCAGCACAGTTGTGAAGCTCTGTACCATACACCTACCATCTAGAACACTGCTAGACAATCATTGTTTGATAGGAAATCTTACAATTGTGCTATTTTAAATAATGCCCTTTCCAATTTATAGGCAATGTCTACTTAAAAATGAGTAGAGCACATTAACTATAATTTTCATTTTATTGGCCCTTCTATGTTAATTAAAACATTTAATTAAAATGGGAAAATTCTACCTGCATTTTATCAATTCTTACAGCATGAAAGGGAACAAAGAATATCACAAAACCGTAATTAAATATTTCTTACATTCAACCACCTCTGCAAATGATTACCTGGCATCTTCTCCTCATCCTGTTGGTCCTCCCTCTTTTCAGCATCACCTGCCAGAATTTCATCTAGTTCATCATCACTAATTGGCTCATATCCTTCTCCAGCACCAGATCCTAACGAATGCACATCATCTAACTTGGATTCGTCATCTCCTGCTAAACAGGAAAATTAATTTCATGCCAAAGAGAGTGTTAAGGGAAAGGGTTATCTAAGTGAAACCAAAGAGGAGAGGCTGTGCACACTAAGAAAAGTTGAAAAGCATTTTTTTATTTGAAGACTATATTTCTTAATTATTCAAAACACTTGATACCTCCAAAAAGAAAACTTAAAAATTAAATTTAGTTTTAATGCCAAGAACACAATATGGACAGCAATATCAAAATAGGTTATAAGATTACAATTAAAATATGAGAAATAAAATCTACCACTAACATGTTAATGTTGATATTATGCTGTTAATTTTTTATAATAAAACTTTAAGTCCAGAGAAATCTAATTTCAAAAGGATGCATTAATTTCTTTATCAAAATAAACTCATTAATTTTAAAGAACTTGCAAACTAATTCGTAAAAGTTATTTGAAACTTTAACCACTAGCGTACCTTCCATTTCTTTCTTTACCAACTTTTCTCAACTACCTAGACTAAAGCTTTGTCTCCTGGTGACTTAGTTGTGAACTTGAATTATCATAAAACTATACAGTACACTTAATATTTCTAATCAGATGTTATCCATACACTTTACTGAGTTTACAACACTAGTTTTCAAAATGCAACAGCATGCTTTATAAAACTTACAGCAAATAAAATACAATAAACTATGAGATGTTTCTAGTCATTCTAATAATTTTCTACTCTATTAAATTCTGTAGTAATCTCCTCATATCCCCACCATTCACTTCTAAAGTAAACAATTTAAATAACTTCATTACACAGATATACATCTAAACATAAATGCAAATAATAGGATTTTTAACTTTTCAAGCTTTATCAAATTCATTGTCCTACTTTAACTGGATAAAATTTTGCATTTCGCAATAGGTAATTCACCTCTAAATTTCTATGCTATGTTATCTGTGATCACAACCAATGAATGGTATATTTTAGGGATGAAGGGCATGAACTCCAATCACAAGAGAGATATTACAATGATTGGTTAAAATTATATTCAATTATACCCCAAGGTTGTACCTCTAATAGTACTATGGCTCACAAATTGATGCCATTTAAATTCAAATTTGAGATAAAAATGTGAAGACCACTGAGACAGAAATGTTTTTGTCAAGTAGAAAAAATATGTTAACAGTTGGCGTATTGGAATATATCTAACCAAATAACCAAAAGATGTAAGGATGTTTATTTTATTCTGGGACTAGTGCTACAATACAGCAAATAAAAAGAATATAAAATATTACTGCTTATGTACTAAGTATCCCAGAAGTTTCTTGGGGGCTTGAAGTAGAGAGGTTATGTCAGAACAATGGTGTAGTGGAGGCAGAACTTCCAGGAGAATTTTCAGGGGAGCCATTACTATTGTTAACCTGGGCTATAATTCACCAAAGAATAAGATGCAGAACATGTATGCACAGCAGAACATATTTTCATTCATCAGCCATTTATTGTGTCCTTACTAGAGTCTTGATGATAAAGAAATGAAAAGCTATGGTGCCTAACAAAGGAGTACAGTATAGTGGTGAGAAAACTATGGAAAAATAATTATAATATGGCACAGGGATGCTATTAAAGATGTATAAACAAGGTGCTATGGCAATTTGAAAGAGTAAAGCACCTTTAGCAGAGAAGGCTTCGTAGAGGGAATAATGCATAAACTGGGACTTGCAGTTTGAGTAAGAGAAAAGGGAAAAGGTCTATCAGGCAATGGGAAGAGCAGGTACAGAGAAGCCTAGAGAAGGAAGCTCATTCAGAGTGCAGAGGCATAAGTCAGCTTGTATAGCATTATTAGGGGTGAAGGATTGGAGAGTGGATGTCCATAGCTGAGGCTGGCTCTGAGTGGGCAAAAATGTGGATGTGGCCTTCTCAGGGTCCCTCATTCTAGGAGCGGGAAGTCATTTTAATAAGGGACCTGAGCATCCCCAGATTTTACTATCTGTGGAGGGCTCTGGAACCCATTCCTGCAGATACTGAGGGACAACTGTAATCATTTATTTCATTTAGGCTTATCTGAACCAAGTCTACCTTGATAGTACTAATGAGTGGGACACATTTTTTTAAGTATCATAAGGCTTTTCCTTATAAACTCTATTTTCCCTAAAACAGTGGAGTCAATATGTGTATCAGATGACCTTTCAAAAGGAAATATTTGTTTGCTATGAAATCTGAAAAGGAATGGAACATTGAAACTGACAAAAAGGCGTGACACTCACCTTCCATACTCTCTGTTCTCTCAGCTTTATTTGTATCTTCAAATCCCTGCAGAGATCCTAGATCTTTATCCATTCTTTCTTTATCCAAAGCTAAAGAGTCCCGGGAAGCGCCTTCTAGGTCTCTTTCATGTTCACTCTCCAGTTTTGCTTCACTGCGTTTTACAGACTCTATTTGAGGACTCTCAAAAGTTCTGTCTCTGTCCCTCTCCCTGTCCCTTTCCATAGAATCAGAGATTAATCTCTCCCTTTCCCTGTCCAAGTCTCTCCTTTTGTCTCGTTCTCTCTCCCGTTCCCGTAGTCGATCTCGGTCCCTGTTCCGGGGCCAATCTTTATCGGCATCTCGCTCCCATTCTCTCTGCCGTGCATCTCTCCTCTCTCTCTCCCGCTCTCTCTCATGCTCGTATCGATCACGCTCTTGAAGCCTATCTCTGCTGTCAAACGACCCTGATCTTGAGTGGACCTGTCGATCTGACTCAGGAGAACTTCTTCTTGAACTATGGCTTCTTGAATCCTGGCGATCTAAAATAAATACACCATATACAAAGAGTTAACACGTGATAAAATGGAAATAAAAGGCTTCATTTTAAGGCCCTTTAAAACTGACAATTTATCTTTTTCTATATTTATTTTAAATTATCCAAAGGACCCATTTTAATGAAAAATTCCATCTCTCAAAGTGTTAATTAAAATATGTAAAAAGCACGGTTCCTTGTTTATTTCCACTATAACCACAAAATATCTTCAAAGAAATAAATACATAAAGTGTTTAAGCAGTAAAAGAAACGATCATTTCATTATCTGACCTCTTCCTATCCCCCTACCTTATTTTCTGTGGTCAAAAGAGAAAGTATTGGTTGCAGGAAGAAAAGCCAAAAGGTTAAAATTTTAGGCATCAATAGAGGACTTGAATACGTATTTCCACCAAGATATACTACTAAAATCCTGATATTAAACTGACTTCACTGAATGTGCCTCTACTATAATGCTGCTAGTAATGTGATAACAGGTAACATTTTGGCGGGATGGTTAAGCTTTTAGGTTCCTTGAAATTTAAGGCAGCATATAAAGTAACCAATTTAGCATTTACTTTAAAATTATGATTTGAACAAAGCATAAAACTGTACAAAATATACTAACATAGGAAACAGTGGTTAGATTATAGTTCATTTTTATTACCTGAAGAAGTACTTCGACTGGGTTCTCCACGCTTTAGCTGATCAATCCTAGATTTTCTCTCTCCTGTGATTTCTAGACTTTTTGTTTTTTCTCTGTCTCTTGAGCCACTATGCAGTACTCTCTTTCGACCACTTTGGTCATCCCCACTTCGATGTGCAGAATCATTGGACGGGGAGCGGAGACGGCCAGATGTATGACTACGATTACTCCGATTGCTGCCAAGGCTGCTACTCCTCTTTTGATCCACTGGCTTGCGATGTGGTGCATCTTCTATAGTAACATGAGGTGCCTCTACCTTTTCCACTCGTGTTCTGTGGCATTTTCTATGTGAGTCTTCACTGGTAAAAGTGTTGGTGGTGTTGGCTGGGGTGGAAGAGGTGGAAATGGTGGTGGTCAATGTGTTGAAGGTGGTGGCAGCAGAAGTCATCGTCGTGGCAAGAGGAGGAGGAGGAGGAGGAAGAGAAGACGGGGAAGGAGTCCTTCCAGGAGTAGCAGCTGTGGCAGCGTGCTCTGGTTCTGTCACCTCTGCACGGTCAGGCACGTCCTCATCAGACCAGTCACTGAACGCTGTATCTTCTTTCTTCTGAGGATCCTCCATAGTGCCATCCTTATCATTGGGCATTTCAACCAGTTCCTCCTTGGCTGTGATAGGGGGAGTCCGTGGGCCTCTCTTCTTCTTACTCTGCTGGACTGCTTCTTCGTCAGAAATGTCAGAATCACCTCTGGACCTTTTACGCTTTTTTTCAACGCTTTTCTTCTTCTGTCCTTTTTTTGGTGAAAATACTTGACCATCTTCAGACGTTGTCTCTGTGTTACCCCTGTCCATTCCAACATCATCTTCTTTCTTTTTCTTAATAGGTTTCTTTTGAATTTTTGCTTTTTTCTTGTTTTCATCATGAGCTCGATCAGATGTGTCTCGATCTTCAGATGGGTGGTGTCCTATCATGTCTTGTGAACGAGTTCTTGAGCTCTCCATGATTTCTGTCTGTTCTCTCTGCTTATCTACAGAAGAAACTTTCTCTTTGAACTCCTGCTCTTCATAGCGCCTTGAACTTTCTTTTCTTTCTGGTTTACGATCTTCCTCTTTCCACCTACCCTGCCTGTCTTCTATAAGGTGGGATGGACTAAGAGAACGAGATTCTTGAGGTCGAACAACTTGGCTCAAGAGTCTGTGTTTTTCATCTATACAAAAAGATAAAAGTAATCACACTTTCACCATGTTAACAATATTGCATGCTACCTATAAATAATAAACCAATCTCTCCCTTTTCATTTTAAAAGTTTAAAAATAACAACTTCAGTAAAAATAAAAATATGGCTTTACTACAACTAGTAGGAAATGACAGTGCCATTATGGTAGAATGACTATTTCTAACACATACTTTAGTCACAATGGGAGATATTCAGAGGCAGTAGAGCAAGAAAACATTTTAAAGCTTAATTCATCATTTCCTATTGATGTAAAAGAATGGTCTCGTGGTTACAAATGAATATGAATATAGAAACATGGAAAACAGATCCTGCTTACTTTTATCATCTCCACTGTTGTAGGTGTCACTGTCAGGAGAATGTTCTCGCCGGCGCTTAGGTGACTGACGAGGGCTAGGACTCCCTTCATTTCTATAGCGCTTCCTAAATTGGACAAATGTAATTTATAAAATTCCAGGGGATGAAAAAGATTTCTTTACTACATTTTTACTATTATTTTTTGCTGTAACTAGAATGTATAACTGTAGGATTATAATACTATCAGAAGCTAGTGGGAAGCAGCTGCATAGCACAGGGAGATCAGCTCGCTGCTTTGTGACCACCTAGAGGGCTGGGATAGGGAGGGTGGGAGGGAGGCACAAGAGGGAGGGGATATGGGGATACATGTATACATATAGCTGATTCACTTTGTTGTACAGCAGAAACTAACACAACATTGTAAAGGAATTATACTCCAATAAAGATGTTA